ATTTATATAATTAACAAAAAAAAAATATATAAGCTATGATGTAAATGTCTTAAAATAAATTGTTAAGTTTGTTCATTAATGAAATAAGTCTAAAATGAAATATTTAAAAGAGATACTACTATTACCCGAAGCCATTAAAACCTACAAGCCAAATAAAAAAGATAATATAAATATAAATTATTATATAAAGAATAATTTTATGATTATATATTGAACCATTTCAATAATACTAACCTACAATCATATAAATCTATAATATTTTAAATTAAGAATAATAATTGTATTACATAAATAAAATATAAATCTGTTTCCATTGTACATAAATAATAAAATATTTTTTAGATAAGATAAACACAAGTTACACAAACAATTAAAAAGATTGAACTACAATTAAAATAATTTAAATCAGAGACAAAAAGGCAAAAGGCAAAAAGAAAGTACAATTGGAGTTTTGGGGCAGTGCAGGGGACGACTTTCGGGTTGCAGCGGCAAGGAGCAACGGCAACAGAACCAGCGGTAAGGAAACGATGCAGTTCTGGAGGCCGTCGCCGGAGAAGAAGAACAATTAATTTTGAAATTCAAAGGTTAATCGAGTGTTTTGATGCTGCAGAGGAGATGAAGAAGTCAACTGACCTTTTAGTTTCTAAATTTGAAGATTTTTCTTTTTTTTATTGAATAAAAATTCTTAATTACCATTTATAATCCTAGAAGGATTTGGTTTCCAAAATTGTGGGAGATCGCAAGATCTCACGATCCTAAGATCTTGAGCGCGATCTCTGATAGATCTTTAAATATCCCCGATTTTCCTCCGATCCAGATCGTTCAAGTGACTTAACATCGTACGATCATGCGATCTTACTATGTAAACCGCGATATTAACAACCATGGTCCCCACCCCCAAATACCAGCAAAATCTCCTCCCATGGTGGCCAGCATGGCCTGTCGCAAGAGATACAAAGGGAGATTAAATTGCTAATTTTATGTTTGTATTTTTTATGTATGCTAATTTTAATGGGAGATCAAATTGTTAATGATTCTGTATTGTTTCCAGGTTTCCAGATTTATGACCTTCATAGTTTATGATCTTTGCCTTTTTCCATTGAGTTGCAATCCTTATCTAGGTTATTGGTTTCCTGATTCCATGTTTTAAAGTTTGAAGTTAGGCTGCTTTCAAATTAAGAAATAAAGGAAGAAGAAAACTTAGTATCTCATCAAGCTAATTGATTCTCTCTATGCCATTTATTAGTATTGTTCTCTTGCCATTTATCCTTCAGGAATTAAACACTTTTGTTCATTGGAATGCAGCATCTAGATCGACAAGGAATAAGTTTCTGTTCAAGGACAACTTATGATGACAATGCAATCACAAATGCTGTTGAGATTTATGTCACTCCCAGGTATTTTTGATTTCTTGAACAGGTTGTGTCATAATCATATCTCTGGGCTGGGACCTGACCTGACTTTGTTGTTTTTAATTAATTACCAGTGGTGCAGTTCACTTCACTGCCTCCAATAATGATTCTGGGATCAGAGATTTTGATATGGAGAAATATCAGCTTTCTAAGCATTTCTGTTTTCCTTGGCCAGTGAATGTAAGTCCCTCTTATTTTAAACATTATGATAATGTGGTCCTTCATATCTATCTGGTCACTCTCTGTCATAGAACTAAGTGGGTTTTGAATGTTGTCAAAGCACATTAGCATTTTGTTTTTTCCTACAAATTATGTAATGTGTTAGCTTTGATTGATATGTCTTTTGTTTTTTCATTGTTTGCACATCTTTTTCATACGATTTTAAGAGCCTGTTTGGTGCAGATTGTGGGAAGAGCTTTTTGGCTCTAAAAGCACAAGCTGCACCAAACGGGTCAGCTTCCCAGACTTGCTGCAGCTTTTGAGAAGCTCAGCTTCTCGCCTTTCCTTTGCAAAGCCCGGAAGCTCCCATTTCTTACTTCCGCGGGAGCTTCTCGCTTCTAATTTAATGAAATTCACCTGGTCTTCCCATTTTATCCTCACACTTCCTTTTATTTACGAAAAAACTAGTATATAAAGGACCAATTTATATCATCACACCAACCAAGCCTAGGCACATTTGTTTCTTCTTCCTCATCCATTCACAGAAACAAATCGAAAATACTCATCCAATCACAGAAACAAACCGAAAATACTCATCCAATCACAGAAACAAATCGAAAATACTCATCCAATCACAGAAACAAACCGAAAATACTTACCGTATTCTTCCTCATTTTCTTTCCCCCTAAACCGAAAATCCCCTCAGCTTCCGTTCGGAGACGAACCCAGCTCCTGGGTTCGCGGCGAACCCCGCGCTTGGGTTCCAAGACGAACCCAGCGCCTGGGTTCGCGACAAACCCAGC